GTTGTCTCTCTATAGGAACAGGTTCAGAYAGATTAGGCTTGGAGAAATACAGATTTCATATTAAACACAACAAAAGGGCTCTCTTCTGCTCATAAACAGCAGTGGGAAAGGACAGCAAAGGAGTAAAAGGTCTGGAAAGTTCAGTGTATGAGCAGGCAAGGCTGAGACTGTGCCAGCCTGATGAACCAGGGCTTCACCTTTGGTAACTTCTTGGAAAATCCTATCTCTGGGCTCAATCTTTTTGGAAGATCCTGTCTCTGGGCTCAGTCTTCTTGGAAGACCCTATCTGTGGGCTCAATCTTCAAACCAGCTTCCCTTCTTTGCATTTTAACTGGCAGGCAGAGGCACCAGGGCAATTCAGGCGGAGCACGGAAAAACAGACGACACACAGAGGAGCCAGCAGACTGGTGTTTCTCTCTTTTATTTAAAAACAGTGCTTCATTACCATTTGCAAAGGGTTAGGAAGGGTTTCCCCCCTTGCTTAGAGTTTATAAAAGCCAGCAACATGATCAATAATTTATACACATGGATAGTAATACAAAAAAAAGAAAAAAAAARRAAAAAAAAAGAATAAAAGCTAAAGATCTAACTACTCCGACCTTCACAATTCCAGCTACTTGATAATAATAGGAATAACCCAATGAATACTGTATGGTCTGAAAGCTACTATACAATATGATACTTAACAAGGGAGGGCAGGAAGTTAGAGGCTCTCACAAAGCCCTGGGATGCAGATRCTGCTTCTCCAGAGTCTGCGAGGAACCGGGACCCTGGGCAAGCAGCTCGGGTGTCCTAGGAAATGATCCAGGGGGAAGGGAAGGCGACCCGGGAGGGCGGCACCCCCTTCCCCGACGGTACCTGGCCACGGGAGGTGCTGGGGAGAGCGCGTGAAGGGGCAAGTCCGACGCGGCGCCGCCTTTGGAGGTTCCGTGGCGTTTTCGCCTTGCACTGAAAAATCTCCAAGTCTCAAGTAGATCAGCCTGTGAGGTCAGTAAATACTCCACCAGCTCCGTATCGCTCTACAGCCCTGGTTCTCATTYGCTATCAGCCCCAGGTTTTAGCTCCAGCTATTTACAAGCGGGATTTATCATATTTWAAAAAAAAAGGAAAAAAGGAAAAAAAAAAATCAGAACAACCAAAACCAAATCATATCCCCTGGGGTAAAAAGAGGATTATTTCGTCACTTGGTAATGCAGCCAAACCAAGCTGCCAAAACTACAACACGCTTGCACACACAAAATACTGTGAACAAAAAAAAAGAAGAAAAAAGAAAAAACATGACCAAAACGGAGGCTACCGATGTGGGAGGCCTGATTTCTGTAAGGAATTCACTCCTGAGGAAAGCAGCAAATCCCTCCACCAAGGGGGAGCGGGGAATCTGGCCAGAGCTTTATCGAGCACGTTAGGGGTGTGAGGGGGAAAGGGCTCCTAAACCTGCCCCTATTTCKCCGGCGGGGCGGCCGGTTCTGCAGCCTCCGGCAGGGCCCTGGCCGGGGCGGCCGCCTCGGCCCCGCTGCCCTCGGCCGCCTCCGCCGAGAGGCCGATCGCCGCAAGCCGCTTCCAACGCGAGCAGGAGAGCTGCCTTGCAGGGTGGCAACGGGGACAGCGACTAAGACACCTTAAGCCCAGTTTAGTCTACGCACGCACTGCACAGGGACGGCGGCTACGCTGTGAACTCCTGGCTAGAGGGAAGCGCAGCGCGGAGCGAGCCCAGAGCCTGCTTGGAAAGTGCCCCCRTTTCGCCCTCTGGCCGGCAGGTTCCCGCTTGCCCTGTTGACTGGAGTTTTCATTGCAGAAGGGAAGTTTGCAGGGGGCTGCGGGGAGGGAAGGGCCATCAGGAAGGTGGGGGTGGCGGGAAGGGGCTTTTCAGACATTAACATCACCAAAAAATAGTGTTTTATGCAACAAAGAATCAAGTCTCACTGGTGTATACTACAAAATGTTTGACATTTTCCAAGAGCATGACAAAATAAAAACACAAAGAAGTTTACATTGGATGTTCACTTGTTCACTAGGTTTTTTTTTTTTCCCCTCCTATTTTAAAACAGTGCAAACAGGTAACACACTTTAAAAATCACCCCTCTGCACCAAGGACAGCACTGCCCTGACCCTGCCAGGCTGCAGGGCCTCAAAGAGCCRCCCCTCGCCCGGCTGCCTGCACGACTTCCCTTCGGAGCTGGACTCAGCAAAAGCGCTCCCCGGAGCTCTTGTGGCTTCTTTCACTTTTCCCTTTATTGAATTTCCAAGTGCTCCCCAAACCTTCCTCCATTGGCTTAGGGGGTGGGATGGGGAACATACGGATAGGGAGGGGATGGGGAAAATGCGGATAGGAACCGTGAGGCTTTGCTCTGTGTTCCCCGCTTTTGAAGCTGGAATTTGAACCGGGAGAGCCAGCATCTCTTTTCAGAATGAAAAAGATGGGCCCTGAGACAGCGTTATTAACCATCTCACAACTACCACTTGAGACACTATTCACAGAACCATCCTTAACTCCTGTGGGGCACTTCATATTAGAAGACCTCAGGAGTGGGAGATAAGGGGAGATAAATTATCTTCACTCTCTGGACAGGGAAGTGAGGTCTAGAGAAGCCAAATGATGGCTTCAAGCTCATCCTTGAGCGTCACTGACAGAGTCCAGAACAACACACGTGTACCCAGCTCCTCCTCACGGGGCAGCTCTGCTGTCTCTCAGGCATCAACACAGCCAAGCCACCGATGTTTTAAAGCGTGGCTTTGCCTACCTAAACTCTTCCTTACACAGGCTCCACACAGCTGCTTTCCCTGGAAACAGCTGCCCAAGGGAGGCTGATGCTAAGCTCCCTGTTGTCTCCAGGGCCACTCAAAGCTTTTCTTAGGAAAGCTATCCCTAGTACAGCAGTGCAGCCTCYCTAATCTGGGGACAGCAGTACATGAATGTGCTGGGTACCGACAGAACCTATTCCTAGGGGAGGACGTCATTCCAGGAGAAGTCATCTTTACACCAGCACAACTGCACTCACAAGGAAAGATGGATCGGCATATTAAAAAAAAATAATTAGGTGTTCGATCCAAAATTATATTAGCAAAATATTGTGTGCTGGCCAGGCCTATTATAAGACAGTGCAAACAGCAACACTTAAAGAAGTATCTTTTCCTCTATATAAAGAGGAATTCCTGGATACTATGAGACTAGACGGTCACAAACAGCAACTATTTGCCAAATTGCCTGCACAGTTTCCCTTTGAAAACCAAGCCCTGGTTTGTGAGCGACTCTTGACCAATGACCCATCTCAGGGACAAGCACTAGCTGCTGTCAGTCACATAAACCAGGGCCCACTTCAATTCATTAAGTGTAATTCATTTTGCATAGGGAGATATAGGCTTTGTCCTCACTTCAAAAGACATTTTGACCCAAGGCTTGGCTATTCTGAATGGATCTCAAGCCAGCTCATTAAAGGTCTGAGCGGAATCAGAGCTCTTGCTTGCCACGTGGGAAAAAAAGCTGCAGAGCTCCCCCAACCCGGCACAAAATTCCCTTGAGCAACCTTGCTGCAAAACTCCAGCTGGTGTAAAAGCTTTTGGGAGGCCGTGCATTCCGGAACCCTGGAATCAGCTACCTCTGGCACCCGGCAGTGCAAACAGCCCGGCTTTCCCTACGTGCATCGCTGGCAGGAGCAGGAAGGGATGTGGGAGAGGCGGGTGGGCAGGGCCCTCGCAGCGTTAGCCGCGGAGCGGAGATGCCAGCCCTTGGTGCCCTGGAGAGGCCTGGCAGGGAGCGGGATGAGAGCAGGCCCGGCCCCGAGGCGGGAGGAATCCAGCTGGACGGTCTGGAGCAGCTGGTACTCAGAGACCCAAGAGCAGGGCACGAGGAGCCCACGAAGACCCAGTGCTCCTCAGACTCCGGTACTCGGGTGCACTGAGTCTGCCATGCACAGACACTGCTCCGGAGCAGGAACGGGGCTGCCCTCTCCGCTCCCAGAGGCTGAAGCGGGGGGAGCTGCAGGCTGCACTGCCGGGGCACGGGGGGCGSCCGGGGGGGCAGCCCAGCTTTGGGGGAGCTGCAGTCAGAACCAGCTGAACTGAAAGRCAGGGAAGCGGCAGAGGGGCAGGCGGCTGCCGCCGCCGCCGGGCTCCGCAAAGCGCCCCGGGCACCCCCAGCCTGCGGACGCCCCACGCAAAGCCCTCTCCTCCCTGAGGACAAGGCAAGGGATGGGCTCCCTTTCGGCCCCTCCACCCCAGCTGCGGGGAGCACAAGTCCAGTAGAGGCTTTTGCTGCTTCCCAGCTCCAGAAATCTCCTGGCTGCCCTGCAGTGGAAATGGCTCTCCTTGAGTATGACTATCTCTACCACAAATCCTGACCCCCTCCCCTAGCCCAACAGTAAAAGCCCCCAGTTCCCCTCGTTTCCTAGATTTTGYGAAAGCCCCAACACCCTGCTCCCCCTCCCAGTTTTCAATCTAACTAAAATATTTATATACAAACAACAACAAAAAAAAATTGTCATAAAAGCAACAAACCAAACTTTGGCTTGGAAAAGAAAAATAAAACCAACAATAAAACCAGAAAAAAAAAAAAACAGTGGCCAACAGGCTGGCAGTTTGGTGTCCCCTTGTTCTAGCTACTCCTCCAGAGAATCACTAGCTTGGGGGTCTCTAGCTTAACTAATGGCTTCCCCATCCTTCCCATCTGAGGTGCCTCTTCTCGGCTGTGTCACTGGGGAAGAGCAAAAAACCCACGTGGTTGCRCGTGGCCAGGCCAGGGCACCTTCCCAAGAGCTCTCCCCTCCGACACGGATTAGTGTTAAATGCAGGAAGTTTCCTATTCTGGTACCAGCCCTGGCTGACAGCGCGAGCACACGGGCAGGAGTTGGAAAGGCTCCGGCGCCCCGCTCCAAGCAGGCTTCTGGGGGTGGAAAGCTCACCTCAGGACCCACCGAGAGATCAGAATGGCTCAAGAGCACTTGCCTCTGAGCACCAGGCTGGCCAGGAGCACTGCAGCAGCCCCCAGCTGAAAGGGAGCTCTGCAGAGCTGCAACTCTCTACCACAGGGCTAATCACACAGCAATGTGAAAAGGCCAACCTTGCAGAACAGCCAAGTCACTCTTCATGAGAGCAGAAGGGAGATGGTCTTGGGAGGTGTGGAGCCCTCTTTGTCTCTCTGCTTCTGAATCTTGCAATATGTAGTGTCAAGTACGGACCCAGCAGTCCAGGTGCTTGTCTATTCTGGATACTGAAAGGTTAGGCAGAACGGACCCAGGGGCTCCAAGATGACTATGTAAAGTCTTAAATAGCTTGTGGTGGGAAATTCCTATGAATTCATAGCTTGTACAAATTGCTTCTGCCTCCTCCCAAGCTCCTGAGCTCAACAAAACCACTTCAGGATCAYGTTTGGATACACAGGATCCTCTTCGCCCACACAAACCAACACGTTTGCCCCTCAGCAGCTTATATATGACTTTTCTCTCACTCATAGTGTGTGAAAAAGATTTTTGGTGGGAGTGCCAAAGCAGCTCAGGATGAACAGGAGGAGAGACCCTGCATGCTGGACCTCAGTGTGCCCGAGCACGGCACGGATGTGTGGCTCCTCAGCTGGCTTTCTTCCTCATCAAGGCTGCACATGCTTCACCTCTGCAGTTTGAACCACTTGCTGTCCATAATGCAAGTACTCTGTGGCGTGGCATTACTTATCATTACATATGTCACTCCTCTAGGAAAGAAGGAAARGGGCAGCAAGGGAGAAAGATCTTGAGAAGGAGGAAGTAAAACTAAGATAATTACAACCAGCAGCAATGGACAATAATCAGCTAGAATAAGTTGTGGGTGGGTGGGGAGAAATCATCAAAAAGTAATTTCAAAATYCATTGTCCCCCACAGAGCAGCTAAGAGCCACAGTCTTTGAGGAGGTTCAGGGAATCTTCTCTTGCCTGACATTGTCCCAAACCTGTGCACATCAGATGTTGATAAAATACAWGGAAAGTCTCTGCATTCCCCTTTTCCAAATGCACGTGACTATTCTGAACTATTTCCCACTAGGATTTCGGTCCCAGCCACAGCCAGAGAGTGCTTCCTTCTGCAGACCAGAAACACAGCAGGTGGAGATTTCTCACTCGCATCCTCCTGTCCCACAGGCACCAAGCACCAGACCCAGGGAAGTAACTCTGTCTGCGTGTTCCTGATTAATTGCATGATACTGGTTTCTAACAGCATTCCTTATCACTAATCGCCTTTTCCGTGATTGGTAGGATAAGCTATGCACCAACATACAGACACGGAAATGCATTATTTTTACCACAGTTAAAAAAAAAACAAAAACAAAAACAAACAAACAAAAAAAAAGAAAACCAAAAAAAGCACAATCTTTGGAACAAAAGAATTAAAGGCAGAAATTTAAAGGAAAAAAATACATATTCAAAGAACATAGTGAGGTATAAAAAAGTATTTTCTCTTTTGTTTTTTTTTTTGTTTTTCCTCCTCGTCTTGCTATAGAGTTCCTCTACTAGTAAATATTGCAATAGCCAGGCCTCATGAACTGGGGGGGCTGTCCCACTTGCAGGGGGCTCACGTCACTTCAGTAGGGGGCAAATCGGCTGTAGCCACCTCGGTATAAACTCGCCTGTAGAAATTAAACAAAYAAGAAGTAGTTGTTAGGAGGTGAACCACGAAGAAACATTCAGGACGGTGCCTCAATGCTTGCCCAAGGACTGGGAGCTGTGCCCTGGCACTGACCAATACCATCAGCAGCCCTAAGAAGCAACAGAGAGATCTTTTCCTGCACARCCAAGGACATGGCTTGGGACATGCTCAAAGCCTACCAACTAGGAGTGAAGTTTGGCAAATCCCAGTCAAAAGGATACCCAAGATGGYATTCATCAATCCAAACATCTGAGTCTCTTGTCTAGGCTGCATTTATTAGACAGTAGAGATTGGCAAGTCTAGGATGGTCTTCATCTCACCTTAAGGTAGAGAGGAGTCTAAAATTGATATGAAGATCTAGTATCTTAGAGATACTTGGTTGATGAGCAGAGACTCAAAGATTCTGCACTGCAGACACCTGTACATAGATGTCTCTCTGACTGAACACCTTTGCACTCCAGTCTTTGTTAACAACAGAAGTAGTGCATCAGCTAGGAGTGGATGGGCAAGCTACTCCAGCCACCCTTGATTCCAACACACTTCAGTCCTGTCCTGTGTAACTTCTACTRGCAGGCAGTACACCACATCCTTCCACTATCAGGAGGAATGTTAAGATGCCATGAGAACATCTTTCTCCTTTACATCCAGGAACTGTTTTCTCAAACATGCAACAGAGTCTTTAAAGTTAATAAAACCACTGCTGATTCTTGCTCTATCTATCTCCTTGATACAGCTAAACTGATGCGCCACAACAAACTGGCTCCTGACACTTCCTGTCATCCCTCTCCCATCTCCTTTGTACCAGGATGCACCAAGGCCAAGTGGTAACTGGTCTCTTACAGCCTGGCTCCTTTCCTAGTGGATACAGACACATGAAYGCAGAGCAACTGGGAACCCAGTATTAGAGCAAAGGACCTCCTCCCCAAAACGAAGTATTTGTGGATGAAGTTTCAGCATCAGATACACAGTAAGGAGCTGTTCCCTGTGCTGMGAATAATAGAAATGAAAAAAAAAATCCCACTTACCACAGCGCCAACTCCGTAGCTAGCGGCAGGGGCAAGGGCATGGTAAGGATCTGCTGTGTACACCCTGCCATAACTGAAGAGAGGGAGAAAAAATAAAGGAAAAAAAGAAAAAAAGGAAAGTCACTTCAGAGGAGCACAGAAACAGCTGTTTGACCACAGGAAATGGGAGAAGCAGCATGCCCTTCTACACACATGTATGCATAYGTACACACACATGCATGCGGAGAGCCCCTCTCCAAGGATGGTCTCTGGGCATCCTGCCATGCACGTGTGAGACAGGCAGGAAAGGACCTGCAAGCAGCAACGTGGCAGAAGCCGTGACCTCAACCTGCAGGAAAGAGGCTGGYGCTTCGGACCTGAGGCTTAGTGCATCCCTTACCTCGCGTGATGCAATTTGGGAGCGAGTGCTGGTACCATCACCACGGGCATGGTAACGGCTGCTAAAGGGAAAGTGGTGAGGGATTCTCCAGAATGAGAAGGGCCTACAAAGTGTAAGGCTCTCGCATGCGCTAGGATTAAAACGCAGGCTCACTGCACAGGAGATGGAAAACCTTGAGGCAAGCACTCTGATGATGACCATCCTTTGCATTCATACGGAACTAAAGCACTCGGAAGTACTACACGAGCTGAGGAACTTTCACTTCATAGATGGGAAGAAAAATGTACCCAGTCATTAAATGGCCTGTCCAGAGTTGTAGAGCAAGGAGCTGGCAACGCAGATCACGTCTCTTGGCTCTGTGGCCATAACCACATCACCTCCTTCAGGTAAAGAATCACAAGGATAAGGAAGAGACCGAGATCTGTGCCAGCTCACACATACCCAAGGCTACTACTGCCCAAGAGCAAAGAGACAAATCGTGCATTCAAAGTCTTTCCACGTTGGGTCGTGCATGCATGTGTGCACATGCGAGTGCAAGTGGAAGAAATGGGGAAGGAAGCAGAAGTGTCGTACAGGAGCGATGCTCCTGGGCTCCCTGGGCACAGCGAGGCAGTGCCCTGGGCACCCTCCCCCTTACATACCCATCGCTGTAAGCTGCTGCAGCGGCCGCAGCGGCCGTGGCTGCTGTTGCAGTAGCAGGCTGTGCATATCTGTAGGCTGCGTATCCACCCTGCAGGAGACAAGAGAACTGACTTTACAGATACCTGCCCACCCACCCAGAGAAGAAGAATAAAACAAATAAAATCACACACATCGCAAGGAGAGGAAATGTTTTCAAACTGCATCAGCTCCCATGTCACAGCTGTCACAAGCGCTACCCATTGACCCGTGGATCTTCTGTTGCTCAGAAGGGATAGGAAACCCTCTCTCATTATCTCATTTAGCAGAAGTAATGAATTGAAGCAAGTCTCAGCACGGTTATACCCCTGTAGGAAATTAAATTTGGTGTGGAGGTAAGACAAAAAAGAAGAAAGCTGAAATCTTGCATCTAACAATCTCTAGGTCCCCTTCCTCTTACACTGCAGAAACGAGAGGTAGGCATTTTTCTGACAAGTGTGTATTTAGAAATGAGATCATTCAGAGAAATTGTGTTATTCTTCATCTCTCTCTTCTTCTTTTATTTTCTCTTTTTCCTTTTTTTCTTTTTTCTTTCCTTATCCTGGAAGACCTAAAAGACTGGGATTTCATTTGGCCCAGATACATAAATGTATCAATAGCCAGGGAAGCCCAAAAGCAATACGGAAAAGGTGGTCAGGGAAGCTGGTGATCCCAGAGCTGCCAACAAGCAAAGCACCAGCACTGCCAACGAAAACGTCCTCCCTTTCTTCCAGGTAAGAAGGAAACAGGTTGGGGGAAATTAAGCCGCAGCAGTCTGTACCACTGCTGCATATTTACCCATGCTACACGGGTCTGAATGAAGGAACCACCTTTCAAATATATTCAGGCTGATAGGAGGCAGTTACTGAAAACGCAGTTGGGAAAAYGTGACTCCTGAGCCAAAGGCTCAGGACTGGGCTGGCAGAGTGGCCACCAGGGTGACCGGGACAGATGACTGGCTGTTCCAAACACCCAGCTTTGCATTCCTAGCAGTCCTGGAAGGCAGAGCCCGGCCTCCCTCCAAAGAGGGGCAAAGGCTACCTGGCAGTCAGGAAAGAGAGCTCTGAAGCGGAGGTTGGATCTTCCTTTCACTCAATGACTCTAAATATTTTCTGGTAAGTCTATAGAGGGTGGGGGAATGGTAAATGAACCACAGCTTTAATCTGCCAGAAACACACACGGCTGTAAACAACACCAGAAAACTCCATATTGCTTCTGGCTTTGCTCTTTCTCTCTCTCTTTTTTTTTAATTGACATCATAGAGCTTGAAAGACTAGAGGGCAGACTTGGACTCTTCACCTCAAGAATGTGCTCAGAGTAACTCTACAGCTTTCTGTTTAGCAGTGCTCAGCTTTGGGCTGGCTAGGTTTTAAAATGAAAGGGATGGCTTTAACTTCATGTTGATTGTCATGATGATGGAACCCATCATCATGAAGGAAGGGTAGCAAAGCTACCAAAAATGTGCCCAATGATGATGTCCTACTCTGAGATAGAGGAACTTAGTAGAACTTTTGGTCTTCTAGTTATGGAAAGAGTAACACAAATCTCAGGAAGTATCACTCTCTCTGCCTGAAAGAGGCATGTTGCATGTGGCATGTTGCATGAGAGACATGTATTGATTGTCCCTCCTTTCCTTGTTGTCCCTCCCTGTTCCTAATTGTTTCAATCCTTGTACTTCAGATCAATGGTTGGGGGCAATTTAGTTTATTTTTAGCATGACATCATTCTGCCACAGTTACCATTAACCTCAAAGAGAAGATGAACAAGATGCAACCTCAATTCAAATCAAACTCTTTGGCAACAAATTCAAACAAAACTTCACTCCAATGTCGTTGTGGTTCTTCCTTATGTTTTAAGGAAGCTTCCTGACATGTTGATACGGTCTGTCATTGGGCATGGAATAAGATACGTTTTGTACCTGGCACTATGCAGGGCCAGGCTGCTCTACCAGGCTATGCAGGGTAGGCTGCTCTACCACGTGCCCAGATTCCCACTCTGCCTCATGCTTAACCAGCCACATTTGAGATCAAATTAAATTAATTAATTATTAAATGTGACTGGCACATACTCTAAACATGACAGCAAGATGCAGTTTGAAACCAGAAAGGGTTATCATGTAATTTTCTTTTAACTTATACTTCTTGTAAAGGAAAAGAAAAAAAAAAAGAAAAAAAAAAGAAAAAAAAGAAAAGAAGGGTTGGAATCAGGTGTGGGAAGGGGAATGGCGTAACATTTATTAATCAAAATTAAAAAACTAAGCATGCTGACATCTGGAGCTAGAACAACCAGCAAAGTCACCACGTTCAGACTCATATTGGCTAGTTCTACCCATCCCAGCATTCTCTTGGGACAGCGGTTGGCCCTAGGCTCTACCACAAGCTCAGTGAAGAACACAGCCTCAAGTACTAGAGCGTGCAGCCACAACAACCTGCTATTACGGAAACAGTCAGTCACCACTGGAGTTAACATTCCAACCTCCATGATGCCCACGGCCTCCCGCCCTCGCCCCCCGAATGGCGCCCACCCTAGCCCTGTCCCACACCACAATGTTAATAATTATAACAAGCAATAACCCATCTGTTATATCAGAGAAGGGAACAGAGACTCCACTGAGAGATTTAGAGCGGGATGTTAAGATTTCTTCAGTCAACTGCACAACAAACAAAACAAAACAAAAAAACAAACAAAAAAAAAAAAACCAGGAGAAATAATTCATTGGAGAAATGATGTTAAGGAATAGCTGACGTGTATTGCTTTTAACCATGCACTGATGTAAAACTGAAACTAGTGTTGGTTTAAAAAAAAATGTTACAGGATATATGTGCACACACAGAGGCAGGCAGACCTGCTAGGTTGAAAATGGTCTGCAAATTCTGCTTGTGTGTACTTTAAATAATCTCAAAAATGGGGATTATAATGGCCATGGTACATTCCTGTCATAGGAGCAATGAGCGTGGACAGCTGGGGGAACTCTGACGGAGGGATGTATTTAGCACGACYAACAGGTCCAAATACACTAAAACAGGGTGAAGGAGAGAGGAGGAAAGTTGCAACTGTTATTCACTCTTCTTCCCCATTTTATTTTGAGTTTTTAAATGCTTTCCTCGAGCTCTGGGAACYATACAGAGCAAAGGAGATGCTGTGCAGAGTGCCTTAACCAGCAGATGCTCCTGTTCTCCATAACCCAGGACCCACATATAATTCCATCAATGCACCTAAAGCCCTGCTCAGCTTGTCCAGTGCACTATCATTTTCTCCTGCTATTCTTGTTGGCACACACCTTGATCTGGAAGGCAAAGCTCACCCAACACCTCAGCTACCAGACCCCATCACCCCCTTAGTGATTTCTGATGCCCCTCGCTTCAGGTACTATAGGAAATATAACTGTATCAGAGTAGAGCATCTTCAAACATGAACATTCATGTTTCCTAGTAAAAGAAAACCAAAAAAAAAAAAAAAAAGAGAGAGAAAAAGAAAAAAGAAAAACAAAAGCCCTTTCTAGCTGTACCACACTCCTCCAGTGCTACAGGCAGACTGCAACAGAAGACACCATCGAGTGGCATAGCCCCTGACACCCAGGACCGCCGTGCAAACTCCCTCTCCATTTATTGAGCTGAAGGGATTCCACAGTGACAAGTTCACCCATCCATGTTCCGTTCTTAAAACCTTTTGCCTTGTTTCAGAAGAAACGAGCGTGTTCTGAGCTTCCTGTGAAGATCTTATGTCAGAAACACCTCTATCAAAGGAGACAGTTCAAGCACTGCCTTGAGGAGGAAACAGGGAAACTAAGGAAAAGCTAATGTGTTTTTACCAGCCAATAACAGGCAAACAAAATGACTGCCTAAATCAAGATCTGTGCTCTCCAGTACAGTCTTTTGGATTTTTTGGGGAGCGAATGAGATCAACATAGCACTGCCCTAAATGCTGCTTATTTTAATTCTACTTCTCTTGATAATTGCCAGTGTTGTTTTTTTCCCATGTTAATGTCTAGAGAGACTGGACCTACAGATCTTGTTTGCCAAACAACAGGGTTTGCTCGGGTGTTCACAAAACCCCAAATTTCAAATTATTCCTCTGTTGCTCTTGGCTCAGCAACAGAAGATGACAATAAAATATACTTTTAATTTCTTCTTTAACAATGAACTTTAGCTTTTCKATATTGTATTATTTCAAGGATTACAGGGCAAACATGGCAAAACAACATATATGGGAAGCTGCAATCTCAACTAAAGCAGCATTCCAATTACAGGAGAGGTTAATATAGGGGAAAAAAGGAGCCTTTTAAGACTATGCAGTTCAGCTCAAAGTAAAGCCATCTTCTCTTCCACTCTTCAGGTCCATATTAGGTGATAAATCCAGTGAGAACATGAAGAAATACAAAACTATGTCTTACTATTTCAGTGCATCCCATGGTCATAAGCCTCCTTTTTTGTCTTTCCCTGCTGCCTTAAGGACACAAAATGTGTTGCTGACATTTTCTTTTTTTTTTTTTTTTTTTAAAACTTGGAAAAGCCTTTATGCCACTAGGACAGAGGCATTTCCATGTCCTTGGAGAAATGCATATAATTGTTACTATGAAGGATACATTTGTCCCCTGGTAGATTTAAGCAGGTGTCCCAATCCACCTAGAATGGGTCTTTTCCACCTCCAAACTGCCCTATAGCACAAGTTTAGATGAAGAAAAGGCTAGAACTGTTCCCAGTATTTCTKAATTAGAAGGGTGGCATGCGTGCACCAGGAATGAGCATGAATGAATTAAGAGAGGTGACAGGACAACAGTGTCCATTGCAGCACGTGCTTCTACATGGTAATGGGACAAGCATGACCTTGTTAACCCTTCCACTGCATTTTCTCTTTTTTTTTTTTYTTTTCTTTTTTTATTATTTTTTAACAAAATGCCACTCGGTGTGAAATCTGGACACCCGCCACCCTGCCAGAGCGGGGGCTTCAATCACACGTGAGTCTGCGCTACCCTATAGAAAAATAAATGAATCAAAAAGCCTCTGTTCCCATCTCTAATGTGGTGCTGGAATGGTTAGTATAATTCATTTTTTTCCACTGCAATCCACAATCTGATTGGTTGGCAGGTCACACTGGCACTCCTACCTGAGGTATTTTAGCGCTAATGATTGGTTCCTGTAAGACTATTCTATAACAGAACACAGGAAGAGCAGTTCAAAAAAACACAGCTGTGGAAAGAAACAATCATACAAACAGCCCCGGGCGGGGCCCACCAGCCTTTTCTTTCCAGTGGATGCAAGCACGCTTTTCCCAGGCAGGAGGGGCCTTCGCACACGGGGCTTTTTTTTCCCCAGAGTGGCCCCAGAAACACAACCTTCTCGGGATGCAACACGGGGCTCCCCAAGCCCTCTGCATCCCGGGGCAGGTCGTTTTGACAAATTCAGGTATCTTGCCAGAGTGGAATGCATCCAACAGGACATGGAATGCCTTTTTTTTTTTGATTATTATTTCTTTTTTTTCTTTTTTACTCGTGGAAGAAGTAGCTAGCAGGATGGTTGCCCCAGGAAAGGAAAAAAAAAAAAAAAAAAAAAAAAAAAAAAAAAAAGGAGCGAGGAAGAGGAGGAGGAAGAGGAAAATGAGAAATCAGTGCATAATAGTGGGGTGGAAAAAACAGCCCAAACTTGGGACACTTCCCTCACTACAGTGGTAACCTGCTCCACTCACTAGAGTGGTAACCACTCACTAACCTGCCAGTTCAGGGTCCTTTTTAGCCTTTCCTCAACACAAGCCCACTGACTCCAAAGAACTAAGGGAATCTCAGTTTAACTCTTCCTCCTAACCACGCCACAGGCAGGAATATCACAACTGAAGAGCCCTTTGCCATCAGCTCTACACGCCGAGCAATCAGTTAATGTAAGCACTACAGCAAACACCACAAATCAGTGGAGTACAGGGCAGGTGCAGGCATTCAAATCGTCTGCAAGGCTAACTTCAAGTTAGGATTGAAACTACCCTTTTTTCTGAACTATATTTGAGATCTCCAAGCAACAATAAAATGGCAAAAAGCACATCTCACTCTGCCTTGAAGAGCGTCTTATTCTGTAGTCCTGCTTTTTCACAGCAAGACCCAAATCACAGAAAGCAAAGTGTTCAGAAGTTCACCTGCTGGTTCTAGCCTGACTTCAGCTTCAGGATTAACGATGCTACTGCAGTGCAGACAATGGAGATTTCTTCATTACTGAGTTAAGTAAGGCTCCCTTCTCCACGAGCAGTGGAAGCTCTGAAGAARTTTTCTGAAAATGAACAGGGAACAATCCTGGCCTGTCTTCCCTTTCAACAAGGAAGCCTCTTAGGTGCCATACTCACAGGGAAGAGACACTYCCACTGTCTTTTCCTTGGTCACTTGCTGTAGCCAACTTGGTGGTCTGTAAAGACCAGTGTTTTGCAAGTGAGGTGGGAAAACCCAGGGCTCTTTAGTTGTCTTTTGAGGAGGTTTTATAAGGGAGTACTTGACCAGGCACATCAAATTTTAGAAGTATGAGCACACAATAGTACATGTAAGAATGAAGATATGCACCAATATGTTTAAAGCACCTTCCAACCGCTTTAATTGTGTCGGGAGAAGGGCCTTTACAAGACCTGATTCTCCACAGGTCAGAGAAATGCAAAAACTAACTCTGCCCATTATCTGGAATCGAACCCCAGAGGTCATCTTACTAAACATCAGGAGCATTATCTTCAGAGAAGCATGGACRTGAAATCCAGGCTTTTGACTGTGGCACTATCCAATAAAAACTTCTCAGTCAAGAATCCGATTTTCCTGTGACAGGGGACTTTGCTAGAGCAGCCCACAAGTGGCGATGTCACCAGTGCATCTGAACACTCTGGCTTTGAAGATCCTGTTGTTATCGCTGTTGTTCTGTGGCAAGTCTCCATTGGAAAGAAAAATGCGTTTTTTGCTAGCCAGCCAGAAGCCCTCAATCCACAACAACTAYAGACACACACTCTGGGCCTTTGGGAGTCCCTGAAGACTCCCAACACAGGCTGGCTGTGCAAGCGCAGGACAGAAAGTCTCCTTGGGTATCGGAGATAACTTCCAGAGAGGAGGAGCCTGCTAACTTTCCTAACTGAACACCCCCACGGAACTCCTATTTAAAATTCCCTAARGTAGAAGAATCTAGCCTATTTAGGTAAGATTTTTACTAGCAAAACGAAACATCAGTTTTCTCTCCAACATCTCAGCCTCTATTTWCAGCCAGTCCCAATGTCTTCCCCAGGGGATACTCTCTGTATCCCTGTGGCACACTGAACATATGTAAACACAAAACTCGCTCAGCTTAGTGTGGGCTGCACAAATCAAACCTGAAAGGGCCCCAAGAGGGGAGAAAAAGGGGAGGGTGGAGGGGGAGAAGGAAAGGGAAGGTCTGAGGCTAAACCAGTCCTGTTATTTTTGTATCCAAATTATGTAAATGAGAGAAGTGTTGAGAGAAATTTTAATTTGCTAATCATCTCTCAGGCTGATTAGTAGYAGTGTGCATGTGGGGGAAAGGACGCCCAGAAAACTGACCCTGGCAAYGATCAGGAAACCCAAAGGCTCAGGTCTTGCACCCAGGGGCAAGCGCAGTGACAGAGAAGCATGCTTGCATTCCTAAATATATAAATATATATATCCACAAGGAAGAAGAAAATTAAATGATATTCAAAAAAACAAACCAAACCAAACAAACAAACCAAAGGAAAAAAAAAAAAAGAAAAAAAAAAGGCTGGCTTGTCAGGGGTTGGGGATGAGAAGGCTCCGGTGTGTGTACTTACATAGAGGTCAGCACCGTAAAATCCGTCCTGGTAAACCACACTGCAGAAAATCCACACAAAAACAAAACAAAACAAAAAAACAAAACAAAAAAACAAAAAAAACAGAAAACAAAAGAACAGAAAACACATTCCGGTTATTGAGGACGGCAGCATGCACATGCGTTTCACACAGGCAGGTGATGTATGAATCCACAACCTGGGCTTTTGGCAGGAGCGACTCAGCGAGAGGTGGTGTGTGTGTGTGCGCCCGCGCGCCTGCCGGCGCCGAGCCGYCCCCCTCGGCATGCCGGGGCCACCRGGAGGCAGAATGCAAGGGAGAGAGGGAGGGAGGGAGAGAGGGAACAACCAGGTCGTGCAATAAAAATAGACTGGAAAAAAGATCTGGTGTCCTGAGGAAGAGAAACAGGGTTGAGAAACCTTCACTCTGGTTATTCTCCTGGAATTATTTTTKGTTATTTATCCCCTAAACACGTGGAAACTTTGGCTTCGTGAAGTGGGCGCTTCTGGAGGCTGAGAGCCCCTCAAGGAGGGATCCCACAGGGGCTGGGGATTCACACCCATGTCAGAAGCGTATTTCCGAATGCTCGTGGACAATCCCGCGTTTCGAGTTTTCACAGGGCTCGTGACTGTGTTTCTGCCATCCATACATCACCTGCTTTGACCCTGCACATTAGACATGCGATAAGATTCGGCTGATCACACAGGCATGCAAAGTATTATTATTCAGCATCTTAAAGAACCGATGCAACACCTCAGGAAAAAAAAAAAAAAAAAGAAAAAAACCAAGTCAATCGATTCTGATCAAAGTAAACACAGAGAAATGTAATTCAAAAGAAAAAACCAAAAATACCCACAATGCATTGCTTTCACAAGCAGAGATAATGAGCTAAAAAGGTTAGGTGACTGCTCCGAGGTCCCGGAATTGAAAGGTGCAGTGGGAGGCCCTGCTAGTAACGGCATGTTCCRTAGCACAGAGGAGCAACTTGGAAGGGTTTCCGGGGGATGGTGCTTTTGTTTTTTGGGTTTTTTTTTGCCTTTTTTTTTTTTTCTGTTTTAAGCCATTGTTTTCTTTCTCTCAGAACTTCAAGCAAACTCTTAACCTGGAGTCTGGGGGTTCCCAAAGAGCCACTCTCACGGGAGCATTCGCTAGGGTCGGACTAGGCAGCTTGCTCTGGGGACAGGGGTCGGGGAGGGATGAGGAAGGAAGACAGGGTTTGCCCCCCACCCGTGTGCGTTCAGCGTGTTTTCCCCTGAAGCTCCTGCGGGTTTTCCCCTGAATTGCTCTGCACAGACTCACCACTGATTCGGAAATCATCAGCCCCACCACCTGAGAGGTTCATGGGTCTAGTGTGTATGACTTACCAGTAGCATTAAGACAAAAAGAAGGGATGTGACACCAGCTTTTTAATATTACTTTTTTTTTTTTTTTAAACACATCAGATGGAATGTGAAGTGCTGCAGAGAGCCTGCCACCCGCAGACACCCACGTGTTGTAAGGCACGCACACACATAAAAAAGCCCAGCATACCTTGCCAAAATTCTGCATGCTATTACTTAAAAAAAAAAAAAAGAATCTGTTGCAGTGTTAGCTACTGCTTGAATAATTTAGTCTTGCCGTCTTCCCCAAGAAAAGTACACTCCACTCCCAACAGACAGAGTTACTACGGTCTCCGAGAGCATTTGGAGCTGCTATGAAGATAGAGATCCTTGTTAGAGGAAGAGGGGAGCCACTTCAGCAGGGAGAAAGCAGGCCGTAAGATCGTGTTGGTTGAAGCTAAATTTGTACAATCACAAAACAAAGAATTTGGCTCCTGGGGCAGCGACTTACATTGCTGGGTTCTCTATCTAGGATCAGGAGTGTTTTAGCAGTGATACTCCACCTGCCCCTGCAGGAAAGGCAAACGCATGACAGAGGAAGCGGCTGTTGGTCCATGAACACGTCAGCATCCTGAACAGTCACTCTGGACACAAGCATTCCCACACTGGATCGGGCCACTGTTCCCTGCAGCTTAGGGTCCTGTCACCAAGAGATGCCAGCACCAGCTCTCCAGAGAAAATTGCAAGGAAAGCCACTAAATGGAAGCAACTTCCTACGTCCAGGCAACCAGGCACACACGCATCCCCTCTCTCATTCGGCCAGGACCTAGCTAAGCTCGACTGCCGGTGCCAACATTTGGCAAGGTTTATTTAGAGGCTAAAATATCCATAACCATAACTGTGATTCTTAATGCGAACAGAGGAACTAGAAGAAATCATGCACTTTAAAGCAACGGGGACAAGGCAGGACTTTGCAGTCTGATAACCTCTGCTCAAAGCTCGCTAGCTGAGCTACAACGTGTTTACCAAAGAKATAAGTATCTTCATATCGTAAAGCAGCCATCATTATGGCTAAATCATTATTGTAAAGCAGCCAAATCATGAATTGAGCTGTCCCTACAGTTGACTGTGGTGTTGAAGAAAAAAATAACATAAACATGCCAACAATAAAACCAAAGATCTATTATTGTCTTACGCCTTGGCTGYCTTTAATCTACTTTCAGCTTTGAATTTGTGAATCTTTTATATATTTGCATTCTTAGACTGAATTATCCTTTATTATGACAAGCCTACTCTTTAGATAGGTACACAAACAAGGTATTGTTTCTGCGACATTTTGAGAAATAAACTGAGTTTTACAGTAGGCAAGACTTTTAGGCATAGATTTAATTCTTAGAACTTTTGGGCTGAAGTCCCATTTATCAGCATTCTTTTTAAAAAACTGTGGCTGCTACAAATCAAGGCAGTACCAGTYTGGCCACATTATATACCAGAGGTCCTCTTATATTAAAAAATAAAAATAAAAAATCGCTTCTTTTCCTACATGAGACTTATTCTCTGTCTTCAAGCTCAGGTGAATATTTGGCATCCTCTCCAGTTCTCTGGGTAATCGCTTTCAAAAGGTACCTTCCTCGGATAAGTGTCTACGTCTGCAAATACTTACATTTCATATATTCATTAATAAATCTGAGCTTTAGGCCTTGAAATCAATGTTTAAAGTATTAAAAACTACGTGATTTCTTGCACCTTCCTCTGGAGTATCTAGCATTGGACACTGTCAGAAAATAAGTAGAACTGAATGCTCCTCGGGTCTGATCCAGCATGGCAATTCCAATAAGCTTTTATCATTCTACATTCCTTAGCTTTCGAATTCCGCTAAGCTCTTAAATTCAGTGACAACACAAAAAAATAGGTTTTGAAAAAACTATTCTTTCTACCAGCTTTGAGTTAATCTGTAGCTTTCTTCACTGTCTTCTTCCTCATTACTCACTCTATCTTGACCATTCATGGTCTGACAACTGATCTTATGGTATCATCCTTCCACTGGCCAGGGAAAAAGCAACTGCTGCAGGATAAGGTGTCGGGAATTATGTGCCTGTCCCTGACTCCATGGAGGGCAACATCACCGTCACCACGTAGTTGTCCTGCAGGTTACTGGAACACAGAACTGACAGCACATTTGACATCACTCCACAAGGAACCAAACTCATCCTGCAAAATAGCATGTAGCAATGTGGACCATGATGACAACGAGCAGAATTAGTTTACCACATGCCAATGCTTGGGATTAGGACAGTTCTGGAGCTTTGTRACTGTGACTACTGTCCTCCAAATATCTACCGGATAATGCGCTGCCAATAAAGATGTACGAAATCGGTCAGCAGGGTCAGACAAAGCCAATATAATGCAGGCAAATCAGTCACGAGGCAGTGTTTGGATGGGATAAACATTGGAGCCTGGCCTATACTCCAAAGGGAAAGGAATTCTTTACATGGGACTCAGGCTGGATTTGTATCCAACGCAGAGCCGGGATTTCTCCCAGGGTGCCGCTGGTGACATCCCTTGCTAGGAAGGCTCCAGTCGTGACTGCCAGGGAGGGAGAACTCGAGCCCTCTCCCTTCCCACTGCAAGCATTCCAAATCCTCCTAGGCAGCAGCACTTAGCTCAGCTTTGCTTCTCTGCTTCATTATGGAGCATTTCCTAATAAAACAGGAACTGGGTCATTTTTAGAGCAACAAAGACAGACAGACAAGTGGCAGGTCGAAGGATACAGATTACGAACTAAGCGCAGTGCTGAAGAGAGGTGGATCCTAAACCACAGAAACGCTCCATCTGGAAGGCCTACATGCTCAGACAAGAGGTTTCATTTCAGGTCTTAGGGTGAATTAAATACATGCACTGCCTGAATTGCCTGAATCCAAAGCTAGGCAGATGTACGACCACTGCAGCTTGCTTCTTTGAGCCCTGCTCTCAGTACCACCCTGCACTCTACMACAAAAGGACCAAAGAAGCTCTCCCCACTTAATCTGCTACAGAAGGTGCTGCAAGCTCATCTAGCAGAGATCAGACCAGCTCCTGACAGTGTGTGGCTTCCACCTCCATTTCAAAGTAAGGGATGTAGATACTTTTTTCTTCCCTGTRGAGGCTAGTCTAAAGGAAAAGTCAATTCCCCTCTCTCGGGAGATTCTTTCCTACTCCTGTTCTTTCTGAGAAAGTTGCCTGCAGAACGTGGCAAATAAAATTAGTCAGGCAATACGAACAAAGCACCCTCAAAATTAAAAGACACAGTTTGGAAGGGATTTGCTGAATTATTTGTTGCTCCATCACACACACACACACACACACACACACACACACACACACACACACACAGACGAACAGAAAAAAAAAATATGAACAAGCCTAGTCCCCTGTACTTTTAAACAGCAGAATATTTGTATCAGAATCTATTCCACTGCATTAGTAGTGAACAGTCCAGAGGGCAAAGAACGCTAAGGCCACACGTTCAGCATTGCTTTATACAAAAATAGGGAGAAAAATGTTTCTGTTTTGTTCTCCTTATATYCCAAACACTCCCAATATTAAATTAATGGACTTGATTAATCTTTGTTTTAAACCTTTTTAAATCGTCTCCAACAAAGAAAGCAAATCCATTGTGGGTAGCTGGCTCTCCTGTGTCCTACTGCCAGATGGTGAGGCATGAAAGTAATGGATAATATTCCTTAATCTTGGTAACCAAATGCAAAGGGAGTGCAGAGAGCAGAATCTTCTCAGAAACTTTAGACTTGCTCTCTTTGTCTCCTTCCCAAAGTGCTAGAACACATTGGGTCAACGGATGATGAATACCATGCAGACGCATTCAGGAATTAGGAGAGAGAATCCACCAGCGCCTTAAGCTCTCTTTTTTAACTATCAGAATTTTGGAAACCTGAAAATTGTTTCCATCAGGAGTGTAACGTGGAAAAATTTGGACCTGCCCTCCTTCAGCGTGTGCAGAACGGCACTCGGGCACCAGCAAGGCCCTGACTCTCACCATCCAGACAACTCGCAGCTGTTTTCATGGTTAGGCAGCGCGCTCCTCGGCGCGGCCGTGCGGAGCGCTGGGCGCCTGCGCGCGGCGCTTACCCCGGGTAGGCAGGGATGGCTGTAGGGGGCACGGCCCGCACTGCCCCGTACACGGTCCGTCCTCGGCCCCGCAGGTGCGCGCCCCGGAACGCGGCCGCCGTGGTCGCTGCCGTCGGGTAGGGGAAGCCTGGAACTGGAGAGACAAACAAGGCACAGGGTGAAGGGGGCYGCTCTGCTGCCCCACAGGCAGCTGTCGGCCTCAAGCAAGGTGACAGGGGAGGCTCCACGGTGGCCAASGGGCATGCAGAGAGCCCAGCACAGACACCTCCTGCGATGCTGTGGCCTTCAGAGGTGAGAGGGTTGCAGAGAGCTTTGGCATGCAAGGGCTAATGCTTTGGCAGGCCTCACCCCGCACAGCACAGATGTGTTATGTACTCCCTCCTCCCCCCTTTCCACTCCATCATGCAGTCTAGTCAGAGTCCAAGACACAGAGGTACTGAATACAGCGGGTGGCTCTTCCGAAACCACAGAGAGTCTTTAAAACCATTTGTCAAGGGGTCCTTAAAGTCAATCAACTTACATCAGAGTCTCTTCCCTCCTCTCCCCTCCCACTCTTTGCCACCCAATTCTCTGCATGTTCATTTTAAAGCCTGCAAGACAAGATATCCCATGTAACAGCAGCAGAGATTCCCACAAAGTGCCAGTTCACTGAGGGCCCATCTTTGTTGTAACAAATGTGACGAAAAAACTGGCCCCATGCATTTTAGGCCCTGTTTTATTACACTTTATGCTGGAGTCAACTGGCTAAGGGTGCAATGACGTAAAGCCTTAGAGGCATCCGCATATACGTAACCAGCAGGTAACAGTCACAGGGCACAAATACAAAGCAAGGTGCATGCAGGTGCCTGCTGCCAGGGCACTGCAGCAGGCTCGTGGGTTAGCAGCTTGTATAATATGTACTTTAGGGATCTGCCCGTTCTGTGATTGCAAGGGGTGAAAAAAAATAGGGCCAGCCCATTCCTTACCCACCCTCCCATCTCCCCTTGCTCTGCAGCCTCCTTATCTCTTAAGACCCATTTGCCAGCATGGAAACACACTGGAGATAAAAAAGAAGTTGCAGCCACTGCACAGAATATTCGGGCTAGAGAGAAACATGTTCCTAACAAGACCCATCCTTTCAAGTATATATTATACAGCCTGGAGAGAAGGGTAATAGCTCACAGTTTACTCAAGCACAGTAACACGAGAGGGGCCAATGGGGCTACTTACTGATTAAAGGAATGTAAGTGTTAATACCCCCCCTTCCTGACAGGGGCACTGCGGCGTCATTGCCCAGCGAGACATCTGCTTGAAAGCTGGACGCTAATTTAATTTTAAAAAGAATAAAAACAAAACAAAAAAAAGGTAAAAATGTTATAAAGAAACAGCAAACGGAGAACATAAACAAACACCACTGCAGTTCAATGGCAGAAGTGGAAGTGTCTACTTAGGCTCTACCTGCATACAACTCAGGGCCGTACACCGCTCCAACCACAGGACTCAACTTCCAACCTGAAACAACAAAGACTGCAGTGAATGCCAAAATCTACACCAAGAGAAGGAGCGAGTAGCGCGGGTCGGGGGAACAGTCTCCTGGGTGCACCCCGGCTTCCCAGAGCATTCCCATGCTCTGCAATTGCCGCTTCCACCTCAATCCCCCTTGGTGTAGATGGAGGCCAACTGCCTTTTCTAAGGTCAAGTTCTGGGCGTCGGATGCTGCATTGGAGGCAACGGCAAAGCCTGGCTGATCCCAGGGCAGCAGCCATGTGTCTGCAGGGAACTTCAGCTCCCTTACGTGCCCRTTCCCCCCCAGACACAGGGCGGCCCTGCGTTCCCTCCACGAAGCTGCCTGCGAGTCCCTGCAGCTCCTCCGTGCATTCACAAGGAATGCCGCAGAGCCCGACCCTGCCTAAATAAACCCTCCAGTCCAGCCTGTGCTCCCAAGTGAGACAATTTGCATCTTATATTTTATTTTATTCAAGAAATCTCAGAACACACTGTCTGTCTGTCCTATTTGCTAGTGATCTGCTAAAAGGCAACACACTGATGGAGATGAGATTTCTTYCCTCACTGCATTACATGGATTACAYTGTAAGAAAGCAGTCTATTCCTCTCACATTTCTCCCCTATGCTTTATTTTTCTCTCTCCTGCCTTCTTTATGCTGTTTTTTTTCAAATGAAAACATTCCTAGAGATCTGGCATTTAAATCGTCTGGATAATGGGCACGAACCAAAAATCACCAACATAAACCATATGAGAGCAGAATGYCTGAGGAAGTTACTGGTCGGCCACTGCAGAACGGGTACCAAGAAGCTCCCGTTCTCCACTGGACAGATCCAAAAATGTCTCTCTCTTCCCTTTCTACCCAGCACGAGAACAAAGGGGAGTAAAGCTAACAGCATGATCTGGGCTGACTTCCAGAAAGAACTCTTTTCAGGAAAGCCTTGATCTGCTCAACTGGCATTTGCAGGAATTATTATTTAACTAAACCCATATCCTTCCTCTGTCTTACTTTTTATGCCTTGGAGCACTTTCTGCACTTACAGCTCCTCTAACCACCTCAGAAGTGTTACGAGCAGCTCATCAATAGCACATCTTCATCTGCTGGCAGAGAAAGGATGAGACGTGCAGTACCTCCCTCTGCAAGACGCACATGCCCATCTTGAAAGCAAATATCAATTTGGGAGGTGTCACTAAGACCACTAGGATCCCCCAAATTCAGTAATGGCTCGGTGATCTCGACTCCATTTACCTGAAGCCTGGCCCAATACCAAAGGTCTTGGCATAGTATTAAAGCAGGCATTGCTGGCTGCAAAAGTACATGAAGTTTTCCTATCAGTTAGCATGATCAATGATAACTATGGAAGCTAATTTCTGCTAACAAATAGTGCTACACATTTTCTGCCCATGCTTTCAGGACAACACAATGTGGCCATATTGCCTTTTACTACAAGAGGTCCTAGTTCCTCTCAGACACTTAAACAGAATTTCAGCCTCTACCTCTCACTATTTCTGCCCCTATCTCCTCAGCTCTACAAACAARCAAAATTAAGTGATTTGACAGGAGCCACAGAACAAGACAGTAGCAGAGCCACAAATAAAATTCAGACCTTCTGACTCCCAAGTCCTATGTTGTAACCAAGTCAGATTCTCACACCAGAAACTAGCTATACTTCGCTTCCTGTTTTGTTGAAACTGTTCAGGAATGTTTCCAGAGCAAAAGGATTTTACTGCCTGTTTCAGAACAAAGATTCAGATTCAAAATCTACAGCAAAGCAGCATTCAGTTCTGCCAGAAAAAATGTTTTTTTGCTGTGTATGAACAGGCAGAAAATACCCAAAATGAAACAGGATTYTTCCTGTTTCTTCTTTTCTTCCTGACACACACAACTTGTTTTTTTATTTATTCAGATTCACTGAAAAGCTACTGAGGACCCAACCTGTAACAAAAAGTGAACAAACAGTCCCAATGCCTGCGTTTCCCTGGCTACCTGGGATGGAGACATTTTACAGTTAGAGTGTAAGTGGAGACATTTCCAATTGTACCCCAAACTATGCCCCTACACTCATATCCACTTAAGTGATGGCAACAAGACCCCAGGGTGCTGCAARTATCACTGCACAGTAGTGCAGCCCCAGCCTGCAGCAGGGGCAGGCAACACATGGATCTCTGGGTTCTCCTCCCAGCTCTGCACACTGGACATGCCCAGATTCTGCATCTCGAGAAAGCAGGATGTCTCTATATAGATATACATAAAATAGTATGTCTTAGTATGTCTCTATAAACACTTAGCATTGTATCTGAGAATAACACTACAGAACACTTTTTTTTTCTATTTTCCCCCCTTCCCTCTCCCTTTATTTTTCCTTTTTTTTTTTTTTTCAGGAGAGGCCCTGACTTTTCCCACTTCTCCCTTGCCAGGGAACCCTCGTCTTCCTCCAACTCCTTCAGCTCATTGTTAGCCCGTCCAGTCTCTCTCTTACCGTTTGCATACGGTGTGACCATCTTCTTATTGGTCATCACTCGTGCCGTGGCATTGTTAACCTGGAAGTAAGAAAGGGCAGGGGAAGGAGAGGGAAGGAAGCACAGCACGTTAGGGAAAATGACAGAAAACCCTCAGATAATCACACACACACACACACACACACACACACTATACTTGTCTCAGCAAAAAAAATTAAACAAGAATGCAATATTTAAATTACTTTTAACAGTTGCCATTTAATTATAAACATTACGACTAAATGTGGCATTTTAAATTATGCATTAAACAAAAGGCCAACGAGAGTAAAGTACAGATTCGCAGACGTCCAGCCAGCCCTGGGCACGTGGCTATTTCCAGCTCATCACTCCTGCGGGGTACGTCTCCCACTATTTTGCCCAGATTCCTGGAGAAAGGCGGCGGTAACCTCTGCACTCCAGCACATGGAAACTGAAGCAGAGACTGACTCGTTTCTCTTGCTCACCGTCCAACTGGGGCCCAGAGGCCCCAGGGAAAGGCACCCTTCACACAGAAAGGAAACCTGGAGGAGATGAGCTCTAGATTTGAATACCCAAGGCCTAAGGAGATTTTAGGAAGAAACCATTTACACACTCAATGTTCCCCAGCTTCCTCCTCATCCTCAAGCCTTTTTCTGTATACTCCCTCCCATCTCCCCAACAAAGAAAAAAATCTCTGGAAGCAAAAAGGGGAAAAATATCATTCAGTAGTAGAAGTTGGGTCTCTTTTTTGTCCGTTTTTGTGCCCTCCACCCTCTTTACAGAGCTATGTACAGTTCCAAGCATTCTGATTGCTCAAGCAGGTGGGGTGTTATTACCACAGAGATGGTGCTGATAAAGAAAAGATGGAGCAGTTTGGAAGGCAGGTTACTGCAGCCCCGTGTCAGACAGCCTCCAAGCTCTTGCAAAGAGGGTGAAGGCTTTATAGAGCATCAAGAATTTAGCAAACACATGCCAAATGGGACTTGAGGCCAGGCTTAAGAAGAGAGAATTTTCCAACAAAAATTGCTCCTGGCCCTTTGAGACTTACRGTGTGATGAGCTTATATAAGGTGAGGAGTCTGGAACTGTATTTACTCTAGTTTGGGCCCTAAAACAATAGAAACATTACACATTTAAAAAAGAAAGAATGGGAAACAACAATGATGAGACTGAGAGCATGCAGTTAAACACACACAGATAAAAGAAAGAAAGAAAGAAAGAAAAAAAAAACACAACTGATTTGGGGGGTGGGAAAGGGGGGAGGGAGGAGATAGGGTCTCACAGACAGTCATTAAGATGGAGCGAGTGCCTGAAATCAGCTGCTGTAGCAAAGTGCAACACAAGCACTTAAAGGAACAAAAATTGCCAGAACCAATCAGAAACCACCAGTCAGCAAAGAGACCAACAGCTGCATTTAACTGAGTAAAGAAAGAAACCGGGGAGGGGGGGAAAGAGAGAAAGGGCGCGAGAGAAAAGCCAACAGTAACAGCTACAAACAGGTCTCAGAAGGAGAGAGCAGCAGAAAGGAGGGGCAGGAGAGAGAGAGGAGGAAATGGGTGCATTAATAAAAACCAGCCAAACTGGAGTTCAGTAACTCTGAGTAAGATGTGCAAGGGGAAATCACCATGAAGTCAGTAATCAAACAGCTCAGACTGCTACAAAACGATATGTACATCCAAAGTCCAGGCGGCATTACTCAACAGCATTGAAAATAAAAGGGGGAGAGGGGGGGAAAGGAGGTGGGTGGGGACAACAAGTCAAATCACATTTTGTAGTGTTAATGTGAGATGGCAGATGGATTTTTTTTCTTTCTTATTTAATTTTGTTTTTTTTTT